AAGAAAGAGAGAGAGAGAGAGAGAGAGGAAGAAAGAGACAGATTGATAGATCGTGATCATCAAGGGAACGAGCGTGGTAATGTCTCAGCACGGGGGACATCACGATGGACGGCCTCGTCGAGACGAGATCCCTTCGCTATCCAGGCCGACTTCGCTATTTCTCATATCTATGTGACTACTGGGACAACATGGGGGACTAGTTTCAAGTTAGGGTTGTTTCATGGCTGGCTTCCACATAAGTGGATTTTCTGAGGGGGTACCTGCGTCCACGCTCGCGGCTGTACTGGCCACCGTACTTGCTGCGATTCGCGGCGAGCTCCGTGATCTCTGGGATCCAGCTGGCGAACACCGCCTACACACCCACAATCATCCGTTGCCGTCAGAACAAACCCCTTAGCCTGGATCTTTTATGTTTGTTTTTTTTTTTGAGGGGAGGAGAGGGACAGGGGAAGATTTATTTCGTTCGTGCTCTCGTTTGCTTTCTTTTTGCGTGCTTTCACTCGTACCCTCCGCTTCGTTACGTTTCTGATCGCTTTGTCGTGAGCGACCGATAAAGCATCGCGAATTGTGAGAATGGAGATGACAAGCACGATCGCGGCACGATACCGAGGCACGATTGTAAAATACATAGTGATGTGTAATTTTGAAGCTGGTATGCCTTTGCGATATGAATCGACGTGTAGGTTTTTTTTTTTTTAACAGCGTTGTGTGTGTTTTCCAGTATAAAACGGTCCAAATATCAATCATAATTTCTGCGTGCGTTTTTTAACGGGTGATTCCAGTGAACAGTGAAAAGATTTCTGATAAACGTGTTGTCACGCCCAATCACCAAATTCGCTTAAACAAAACAAAAAAATACTAAAAATTTATAGGTACTTTTGTACGTACAGGATAATTCTATACCGTAATTTACGATTTCCTACACATTTGTATTTTTATACAATGCACATATGTATTCCCTGTAGATTTATGTAATTGCACATTTATATTCGATCAATGAAATGTACAAAATCCTCAGGACATATTTTATGGGACTTTTCGAAAATACATGTTCAAATCTCAGCTCTCGCATTCGACCTTCAACCGTTCACAAATCATTCAGAACACATTCTGAAATATTTGTTATGTTGACAAAATATTTCAGGTATCTTAAAGCGACCTACTTTCTATCTTGTTCAGAGAGAATCAGATGATGAACTTTGACACAAATAATATAAATCTTGAGAAATTTTTTCTAATTTCAGTTAACATTGTTATCTCTCAGTTCTCAGTATGTGGGGAATGTGTGTTTTTAATATTAAGCTTCTGTTTTTCGATTAAAGAACCATTAATTGAAGCGAATCAATTGAATCGCTGCGAAATGGCATATTTAGAATCTACTATTTTAGGAAGTTTCACATCCGCGGACTATCTAACCGTTACTTGTTTTTCCACCTGATGACTGAAACTAAAATCCATCGATTTTAAAGCTGAACGCGGAACATCCATACATGGCGATGATTTGTCGAGTGATTGGCGCTAAAGTACGATAAGCACTCGATACGATGTGTAATAATATGACAAACTTGTCTTAACACTCGCGCATATATTCTCTCGTCTCCCGAACTTCTGCGTATGCTACAAAAGCTCGGCTTGCTTGGAATCATTAATCTTTGTCAGCGAGGATACAACTTAACCCGCGAAACGTCCGCTAGAACGTAGCGATACGTTCCTTGTGTATGTGTATGTGTGTATGTGTGTTTGTGTTAGTTTCTCGACAAGTGCCACATTCGAAACTGATCTCATTCAAGCGAACGGGAAGGAAAAATTAGAATCGCTCGACGCGGCTTTAACGGCATAAGCGTCGATTTTCTATACGAGACAGAGAGAGAGAGAGAGAGAGAGAGAGAGAGAGAGAGAGAGAGAGAGAGAGAGAGAGAGAGAGAAAGAGAGAGAGAGAAAGAGAGAGAAAGAGAGAGAGAGAGAGAAGGGAGAAATAGAGATTGATAAATTAGTAGCAGCATCGAGTGTATAATCGTGCCAATGTGCTAGTAGCGCCCGTGAGACGTTAGTTCGTAAATCGGATGATGTAACTGCGTGTTAGCACGATGCAAATTGTGCGTGTCATTAGATTAGCGCTGCGCAGCCGTCATATGGAAGACAGGCATCTCTCACGCGTAAATACCAAGAGCGACAAGAACTCGTCTCTATCCTCGCGAAATGACGTAAATCGGATAAGGGGTCAATTCGTGGAAAAAACACACAGTGCCGTTAGTTCCTTGTTTCGCAGAATGCGTGCCTATCCGCGACCCTCGAGTTGACCATTGTTAATTGTCGTCATTCGAGACGCTGACGCAGTTGTTTTGCGCACTTCTCGCGAAGCAGCGGAGAAGTGAGTGCCGTCATCTCTCGCGCGAAGTGTCGTAAAACTTAATTTTAATGGCATGCAGGCATTATATCGTAGCGTATACTGCGCCGGTAGTTTCGAATAATCAACGTCGTCCCCGAAGTGTGACGTTGTCTAGAGAGAACGGGGTTCAAAGAATAATACTGCCGCGTGTAGACTAGAGGAGTGTGCGCCACAGCAATGTGCCACGTTTGGGGGAAGAGATTGGAGAGATAAATAAAAAGATTTAGGTCCTCACAGTGTGCTTCGTAAAATTGCTTGTGTTCTGCGATAACCGTGATCGCGTGTAATCGTATTGTGTGATGTATCTCTCGTGTAAAACGAACGATCAAACCATGCAAGACGATTCACGTCAATTCAATTGCGTGAGATATCATTACTGTAGAATTGTTATATGCGAAAACAAAGTGACTTTCCACTTCCACACACAGTTTACACGTACACGGCACTGTCCGATCTGTTACAATCGAGTTACATGATTTGATTTTGCAAATATATATATATATATATATCAGTGTTGGTTGTCGTATACTCAGTAGTTTTTACGCTCAAAGATTCGAAGGTGTGTCGAGTTCCATGGATATTTCGTTCTAACGTGATGCAGTATGCAAATAATGTTGTATTCCTGTAAATGTTCATACATTGCAGGTAGCAGACTAAAATGGCAAATCATGTGACTTGTTTGAAAAGAATGTGCTGTTGATAAAAAGTGATTAATATAACGGCAAACAACTTGACGGAATGCAAACGCAAGTATTGTCTCGCCCGGGTCTCGTGTCGAGGTGGAGTTAAATTAGGGAGACGCGGTCGAAATTCCGTCGAATCGCTTTCGTCACCCTTGTGATACGTACAGTATCATTTTACGTGATACTCGTGTTAATATGGTTGCTGGGTGCTTGTTGCTTCGTGCTGTAGAAAAAGAACGATAATCCATATACGATAAAGAACCACTCCGATCGATATAATATAGAGTACATGCATAAGGCACACTTACTAAGCGCAGCTGCTTTTCTCATCACTTTGGGTTTACGCGCGATATTCGCCATCAAACACATATTATTTCGTCAACTCGGTGTCGCACGGTGAAAGGTCATCGGACTTACCAGGATGTAATCTTGCCGTCACGAGAAAAATCGCCATCACGCCGGAAGGTTTAAATGGCAGAAGAGGGAAAGCGCAATTCTTTCTGCAATTGTTTCTAATTCTTACGCGTGTCGTTCTCGCGACGACGCTAACCCCGAGGTTTGAGAGGACCAATTTATAAACAGTCGAAAAGTAAAAAAAGCTTCCTCGCAACAAAAATTAATTCATCTCCTACGAAAGTTCCCGACAAACGCCCTCGGCGCGAATCGATTCCGAAAACGATTCATGAAATGAAGCGGAGACGTAAAATAAAATAATTACGTTGGAGCTTATTAACGACTGCGTTCGAGAAATGAGGCGATTTACGCCGCAGCTGTACTTTATCGGCTTTAATTCGAGATGGCGAGTCGGTCCAATACCAGAAAGTACTCGCTCCTAGCCGCCGCAGATGGCTCAACGTTTACCTGGCCACGGGTGTGGCCTCTGTTCGATGGTATGATAATATTAAAATCGATACGTCCCTTTTATGACGATTAGCCGGTGCTCCTTGCAAATATTCGAGCCGACAAGAAGAAGGAGAAACCAGCATTTTGGTGATACAGCAATATTCAATTCGCCCGATTCAAGCGCACAATGAAATTTCGAACGTTACTCACTGGTTGCTCTTTGTGTTACATCCTATCAGGCTCAATGAAAAAGATTAGAAACTGAGCAAAACGAAACAGCTTCTTCCGATCTTCAATTTCCACGCATTTGCACCAAACTTTTAATTATACGATGAGAAATCCATGTCGCTATGAAATCTATGTCGCGATTCGATGTTCGTTAGGCGAGTGAAAAGCAACAGCATAATCCGATACCGAGATTTTCAATTCCCAACGTCTCTACTTGTTTTTTCCTTCTTCTCTTTTTTACGCTCGCTTGCTCGCGCATCGGTCGCGGAAACTCTTTCCTTCCCGCTTCATTGGACCTTTCACCGTGGACGAGTGCCGTTTGATTCATTGGGAAATGAAAGGGAACGCCAACGCGACGAATATACCACGTCGCACGCACGCACGGTCGTTACTCGGGTCAAACCTATACTCCCGGCTGTTGTAAATTCTCATGCATTCATCATCGGTCCTCGAGCTTCTTGACGTCTCGCGTTCACGTAGAACGATGATCGAACGACGATGAGAACGTTACCGCGGGGGAAGGTACGTTTATATGTGTATACGGGTGTTTGTATCCGTATTACCAGTGTATTTCGCGAATATACGTGTGCGACTGGCGCATCTTACGTGTCATTTGTTTGCGTTTATGTGTGTTTATGTGTGTGTGTGTGTGTGTGTGTGTTGTATTTGTGTGTTTGTATTTGTGTTTTTGGCGTGTGCCGGCGAATGCATGTACCGCGCACGTCGTATAGCTATACGTTCTCGTTATTAATTAATCCTTACGTAAGTATAGAAGTATATACATATACATACTGGAAGGAAAGTAAAATTAATAGACAAGAGACAGAGGGTTGTAGGATGTAATTTGATAGTAATACCTCTTTCCATGCTCCCGCTTGTATTCGCCGCTGTACTTGGACCTACTGCCTACGAGCTCTATTATCTCGGGTATGCTACTAGCAAAAATTGCCTGCAAATAGAAATCATAACTGGAAAACACTATGCGACTACGGATCGTTGAGAAAGGAAACAAAACCGGGTCACCTAGGTATCGGTTGCGTCTAGCAGCAGTGCTTCCGCATCCTGTATTGGCGTAAGTTCAGATACGTGTCGTACGGGGAAAATGGCGATGGTGAGGAGGGAATCGGAGAGACGGGGCTGGAGAGTAAGGTAGAATGCGATTAAGGGGTAATAATCTACGTTTTATGTTTCGTGTTCGCGTGTGCTTATTGATGTGAAGATCGGAACGTGATGCTTTCAGGTATATATCGATATCCGAATGATATATATCCTGGATCGATGCGTGTGGGGAGTCAAAAAACACAAAGTGTAAGTAAGGAAAAAGTGTTTAGCTGATAATTATATCAGCGAAACCCACCAAGATTCAATATGCCTGCGATGATGATAAATCGACTTTGCTCTTCTCGTATATAATATCGCATTCAAAGTATCGAGTAAGATTATCGAATAAAATAGTATCGTATCAATAATTTCGCAAAATTATATTAATTCACAAAAACATCAATCATCTTGTGACATGATTCAGAAGAATAGAAATATGACAATTCACATCTCTTGACACACATCACGAAATATCAGTTAATTCTTATTTTTTGTTAAATAACTTGATATCGATGTTTCTGAGGCGACTACTTGCGACAAAAATAATTATTAACGAATTTATACTTTATATTTATCTTTTACAGTGTGTAATATTGACACGCGTTAAGTATCAGTAGATTAACAAACGTCGTGTAAAAGAGGTCAAAGTCGATTTTAAGACATTGAGTGATCACAGCGAAATGCTGCTTACCCACGACATCGTGTTGTGTCACAGCTTTTATTATTGTTACCATTATATTGTACTTACACCACGACGATTTTGTTGTAACCATATAGAATCATCCGACGTGTAGGTCGAGTTATGTATCGAGTTTATGTATATGTGTGTGCAGTATAATAATATATAAGCATGTGAGCATAAGTAAAAGCAGTTTACTAGGCGAGAAAAGAAAGGGATGAGGAAGCTGTATGAGGAAACAGCAAAGATATATGTCAATTGTCCAAATTCATCTTTTTGAATCTGCAACATGAACTATCGAATTCTTTTTATCCTTGTGATCAATCGCCTAAATGTGCAAATTTTTCCGTGCAATTAAATGCAATAATTCGGCATTAATTTTCATTGTTTTGCTAATTAATTCTGTGCTGTTTGTGGCTACAATGCGAAGTGAGAGAAGTGAATGTAACTTGTGCAATCGATAATTGCAAAAGCACAGAAGCGAAGAAGATGCAAGCATCGCTTCTGGCTGAAACAAAAGTAGAAAGGAAATTTTACAAGTCGAGTTCGCTCCGTGCATGTGTGAGGTGATAGAGGTGCTATTATGTAAATCGTCTATGATGCCGGATAGGAAAGATACGACCCGTCGTGAACGATCGACAAAATCGTGTCGTGTCACGCCACGCAATTTGCGTTATTGAAATAGACATTGATAGTGATCCGCGCGAGTAGATATCTCTCGCGAGCTTCGTAAAGACTAGGCAACTAAAGACACTGCGATCAACGAAATTCTTAAACAGACAGAACAGTGAGAAAAAAAGTGAGTCGACACTTTGCGCACGACATAACGCTGTACGTTCCCGAAAAACAGCCAACAACAGATGTCCTGCAAAGTAAGATGGCGAAGCAGCGAATTGTACGACCGCGATCATTTCGCCGAGTGATAAGTACGCAGCAAAGTGAGAAAACTCACGTAGCCAAAACTTTAAGATTTTAGCGATATTTAGTAAAAATCGCGTACTCGCAGAGGGAGAGAGAAAAAGGAAAGTAGAGAGAGAGAGAGAGAGAGAGAGAGAGAGAGAGAGAGAGAGAGAGAGAGAGAGAGAGAGAGAGAGGGAGAGAAAGAGAGAAAGAAAGAGGGTTCAGTAAATAAGATATAAATTTACGACCCCGGGAATTGTAATGGAATAACGTTGTACAAACACTCGGACATATAATTGTAATGATAAATTAACCGAAGAGATTACGATTACCCGTAAATAAATATTCAATGTACAATTCCAGAGATTGTAAATCACGAATCCATCTGCAATTCCAGAATTTGTAACCGAATAACTTTTTCGCGCATTCGCCTGTAATATTATCAAGATATAATAGCCGATGATGATAAAAATTAATCTGCAAACCGAGAACGTACAATCGAATATTCTCTTGGAATATATTGGAATCTTTGTCCGGTAGACTATTGTTCTCGTACACAGGTATGTTGAATCGAGTGTAAATTAAAATACGCGTCTACCCCGCCGTTCACGGATTATCCCTTGTGGATAAACTGGAACGCACTGTGAGAAGAGGTAATTTGAGCTTTTTGAAATGGAACTCAATAAAATTTGCGCAGAAGTAACCGTATATAATTATTTTTATATAACCATTTGTTTATAACCGTATAATTATTTATATAATTATCTTTCATCGAAACGTTCGCAACGTTCACGCGACCAAGAAAATGTCGCCAATCGGCGGCCGCGTCATTGAGAACATATTATTCGGGCAGTCACGAAGGACTTGTTTCCAAGTCAACATTGAACATATCACGTAATCCTGAAATAGCGCGATTGCCTTTCCTTATTCGTCATGTAATCGGATAAGATGCACCGTTCGTCTGCGTCGTACTTTTGGATTCTCGAACCCGAATGAGCTAAGACACTCTACTAATTTTCGGCTCGTCTGCGGTCGTTTAATTTACGATCCTACGTCGCCGTCTAATTTCAGGCTTCGCTTGCCGCTCGTGTCTACGAAATATACTGAATTCGGTTAAAAGCGGTTCTTCAGCCGTCGCGCGTTTATGCAGGGACACGTGATATCATACTCTCAGCTGCGGGTGCCAAAGCACTTTGAAAGTGTTCCAAACTAACCGCCACTTTATATGTTACAAGGACATAATTTTTCATCCCCGGTTGAACGTGACTAATCGGAGGACCGACGATGATTCGGTTACAAACCTCTCGATGCAACGCGCGAAAGGATACACGGACAGGATGCAGCGCGCTTTTCGCAATGCATCGCGGCGTCGCCGCGATAATGCGCGTACAGATTTGTAACAGATGCACAGTGCAGAGGAAAACAAGCGTACATTATGAGATAAAAGAGACGATTATTTAAATTCGATGTACATAAGCCACGCTCTGCGGATGGGGCGAATTAAATTTCAGCAAAATTCAGCTAGAAACAAAATAATCACACGAGCTTTGTAACCTGTTAGTAAAGCAAAAAGGTGCGTGTCGAGAGAAACAAGTTGATTTTTCACTCAGAGATAAAATGCGCAAATATGCGTTTGTGCGTGAGTACGTTAGGCGAAATCATTGATCGCACGTAGTAACACGTTTGTGTTCTGTATAAACAGCCTAAAAAAAAAAATAACTCCCTCAGTGGAGAGGGAGTGTAATTTTTTACTACGCCCGTTTCCCATAAAAACAACTCAACTCATTTTCCATTTCCGATAACCTGGAGCTGCTAATTTGAGGGAAAAGTTTTCAAGTTAATCGCGGGAGAAAAGAGGGATATCGGAGGTGCCCTATCTTGAGGATTGTTCTCTAACAAAGTTTACAACGCGCCATTCCAAATCGATAGAGAGGCAAAGTGGTATCTTCTGTCACGTAGTACAATAAAACTATATCAGTCGTAGCTTTTCGCTGTTTATCGATTGAAGAGAAAGAGAGAGAGAGAGAGAGAGAGAGAGAGAGAGAGAGAGAGAGAGAGAGAGAGAGCGGAGAGAGAGAGAGAGAGAGAGCGGAGAGAGAGAGAGAGAGAGAGAGAGAGAGAGAGAGAGAGAGAGAGAGAGAGAGAGAGAGAGAGAGAGAGAGAGAGAGAGAGAGAGAGAGAGCGAGAGGATAATGAACGTATTCCGGTGGTACACACAAAAAGCGGACGGACGTTGCTTCGTTTGTTGAGTCTCGCGCGATTATCGTCGGTACCATCGTGCCTGGAAATCGCTACTGCAAATGCCGTGTACGTGTCGCTCTCTCTACGGCCAGCAATTCAGAAAATAAAGTTCAAGCGGCCAGAACAATATCTCATGTTGCAGTATGAGCAGCGTTTCAGCGTCGCAGAAAATACACATACAGACAGAATAGACATTTAAAAGTCAAGCGCGTATACAGACACCAACATTTTATCGAAGCTGTCGGGACTCGTGCCCTCCGATAGAGAAACGCGATAAAGTTGTAATGTAGAGAGATTTATACATGATGCAATAACAAGCCTCGAGTCTATCATTGACCGCGCGAACAAACAGATCGGCGTAATCAGACGTATGAATTTCGGCGAACTTTATCGATTTCGATTTTTATCCAATTTGCAAATATCGGACATGTATAGGAATTAATATACACATACGTGATTATCCAAATCGTATTTGCTTCGCGAAAAGTAAATTGTATTCATAATTGCGTCCTCCGTGAACTTTACAAGTGAGAAACTTCACGAAGTTCTGTCACTTCAAGCTCCGAGACTCGTTACTTGATAAAAGTCCTGTCGATATCTGTTAATATCATTGAGAAATGAGTTCGCAGCATATACCGCAGCATTCGCATTACAAGCCGAATCGGACGTACCCAAATAGTCGATTCGCCATATTGTTAGCTACAAGTGATTCCTCGATCAAATCGGAAAGATAAAGTGGCTGTAGCAAAACTCGTAGAACCAATTTAAGCTTTAGAAAGAGAGAGAGCGAGAGAGAGAAAGAGAGAGAGAGAGAGAGAGAGAGAGAGAGAGAGAGAAAGAGAGATTAAAAGAGAAATAAGATACAGATAAACAGAAGAGAGAGAGAGAGAGAGAGAGAGAGAGAGAGAGAGAGAAGAGAGAGAAAGAAAGAAAGAGGAAAAGAGAAAGAGAGAAAAGAATAAAATATGCGTTTAAGAGCTACAGTGTGTCGTACAAATTATATATGACTGCAATTGCATCTTTCACCATTTCGCGTAACACTTAAATCGAGAGGCTCGACCGCTCGTAATTGTAGCAAACTGACTTGCGGAGAAACACAGTTGGATGCAAGCGAGATATAATTCTATGCTAAATGCCTCGCAAATAAGTGATTACGAGTCACACATTTATTTTCTAGCCGTGTATGTCGGTCGAATATAGAAAGTATCCCGCTGATAATTTTGAGAGAAAAATCAAGATCTACACGATTAATACCGAGACGTCTAAAAACATTCTAACAAAACGAGTACGCTGTTGATATCAGGTACGATCGTTGAGGTAACCAAGATCGCATTCGAATCGCTCGATTTGCAAATATCCTCGAAACACGCGCGGTTATAAGAGCATCAAATAAATAGAATTCTACACATACACATATTTCTATTATTCGAGACGCGATTTTGAAGCGGTCTCTATGCATTCTGGATTTGCTTCCGTCTTTTTTTTTTTCCCTAAAATAATAGAGTGAGGCGTGTAGGTACGAAAATTTCATAAAGTCGCAGTCAGAATCTGTCGTGAGTTCTTCGTCGTGGCTCTGTCTCTAACGATCCTATCGATCCTACCATCCTTTGATAATTCAGAGAATTGTTTCCTTGAGGGAATTTGAATCAATCTCCCTACGCGAGATTGCACTTAATATTGGAAATAACGATAAAAAAAATTTTTGTCCATTTCGAGAAAATATAAGTTGCGATTTTAATTGTGAATCCATGAATCACTAGAAGAAAAAGATAACTCGATCGTCAAAATGCAATTATAATTGATTACATGTGGCTATCGAATTATACTTGCACATTATAATGGATTATAATTTATACTGTAACGATATTAGCTTTTTTAATAAGACAATGAAATGTTCGATTCAGTTCAATTTAGAATCTAGATTATTCATTAAGTTAAAACTATACGTTACCAAATTGTAAGTGCACAGTCAGGATTATCAATCTTCGAGATTCTTCTGCGTATCATTATCTTTTTGTGATCTAAGGCAATCTTGCTGTCGTGCGATTCTTACGAGAGGATGATGTACGATTTGAAGCATCACGACGGTTCTGACAGCCACGTGATTTATCACAGAGGTATAGGCGTAAGGCAGAGGTAGCCAGTATCTTTGTCTTCTCGTCTCTTTTGTCGTCGTGGTTAAGATTTGAACCAGCGCGGTCGGACCGAATTACCGCGAACTGCTTCGTATGACGATGGGATTTTTCTCGACGCTTTTAATGTATATGCAAATTGCGGGAAAGTGAGGGGCGACGTTTCAGACGGGTTTCGAGCGATGTACGAGAGAGGGAAGTGAAGCTGCCTGGTGACTTAAGTTGGTCTCTTTACGTTCGTCATCGTACCGCGATAAAGGCTTAATTCGTGACCAATTTTCTTTTTTCTTCTTTATCCCCCTTTTTCTCCCATGTCGGCATGTTGTCAGTAGAACGGATGGCTTAATTAGATAACCAGCTTGATTGGACAACATTTTGTTGTTTAAGTTACGGAATAAAATATATGTCACTATATTGTAGCAAGATCGAATAACACCCGGCTATATTTTGCGTTTTTCTAATGCAAAACAATCAATCAATAAAAATACATTAATTTCCTGAAAGATCAGGAAAGACAATCAACACCGTATTTTTCTTATGTCTTTACATCTTTTTATATATCAGCGTGTGTAATTACGTACGTATCTGTACTATCGTCCTATAATGGAACGATTTAAGCCTTTATGCACGAATAAATCCAATTCTGTACCACAGATTCTCACGTATGTCGAATGTACCGTACTTTCGGAGTATGCTCTCTCCAGCTCGATAATTGATTTTATCTACGGCTAGTCTACACGATGAGCTGCGGACAAACGTTAGCTTGGGCGCGATTCCGATGTTTGAACGACGATGCTCGCGTTTAAAGAAAAATTACGACGTATCTCCGCGAGAGCTCCAAAGTGCTGTCGACTGTTATGCGAGGTTCACCCGGTAATCGATAAGCCACGTATACGCGCATACAAACGCACGTATATATACGTTGGAGCGTAGGCATGCTCCTCACATTAATTGCGCGCATCGACGTTCAAACGAATCGATCGATAACGGTATAACGAGCGGCACTGTGCCGCCCCTGCCGTTGATTTCTATTCCGAAGAGCCACTTTTTCACGTGACATCAAATAAAAACGTTATTTTCGCGACGAACCCGCTGCGTTTATTTCCTTTGTTTCGAGTCATAAGACCGTCAACTTTGAGAAGTAGAGTAAATTGCGCGTTGCAGAAACTTTGAACACGTTTGCCCGATAAACACGTGTCTATCCGTGCTTACTTCGTCGTGAAAATTTTATATCGCGGAGAAATTAAAACCTCTTCACACACACACACACATACACTCACACGTATGCAATAGATGTGTGCGTTACTAAAAGTAGTGCTCAGTGCTCAAAAAGTTTCCTTTACGCTACCAATTATTTACACTACAATTTTTCAAACCTGAAAACGGCATAGTTATCGAAAATTAAAAGCTGCGTTATAATTAAAGCTTCAACCGCGTCTCGTTCGAAAATTTCATCTGGAAATTGCGCGGTTAATGTAATTTCTCGCTGCCAATTCGAAGGCTGTCAGAGGATAGCGTGTAGCTGACGTAGTGAAAATTTTACAGACGTTTGTTGAATTCACCAATTGTGAGTTGTCTCCCGATGTTTTTCGAGGCGCGGGAGGATCAACGGCCGGGGAACACTGTACACTCGAAATATTCACCCGTCTCGCGGCTCGGGGAACACGTAAATCTCAGTCCGTCGCTCGTCTCGCCGATCGTTCCGCTCTGATATACGAGCCTTGGCAAAACCGGCGAGCTGGCGGTTCTAGTTTGGCGAAACGAGCTGTGCGAAAAGCCGAATAGCAAGCGAGATCCGTGACGATAGCTCGAGATTCCTCAGAGGAAAAGATGCGAGATCGCGGCGAAAAGATAGAACCGGCGGACAAAAAGGGAACTCTTAATCTCTCGGGGGACAGATACGCGGTCGGTAGAAAGAGAGGGAAGAAAAAGAATTAATAGCTCTTGCGTCGCGATACAACAAAAGAGTTTTAAAAGTTTCATGCACTTTCGCAACAAACCAAGTCTGTCGGACTCTTTTTCGCGATGTGTATGCTTGAAGGAATCAATCTCGATCGAGAAGGATAGCCGAGAGAGTTTTCGTTCTATGCGTTTTCGCAAAGCTCGTACGCTCGTTCCTCGTGAAAGGTGCAACCCATGGAAGAATACGACAAATCAAATTTTTTTCCGAGGACATACGACTTTATTTACTAGATTTCTCTCTCTCTCTCTCTCTCTCTCTCTCCCCCCCCCCCCTATATTTACCCGTGTCTTTTATGTCACAATTTTCAGCGACGTTAAGCGGGAACAAAGAAGCTTGATTACAGACAACCGGTAACGAAAAAATTTAGTCCAGTATTCTCCCTTTATTTTTGTCAGTCTTTGACAGCAATCTGGAGCTGTTTATCCAAAAGCTACCGGACAATCAACCGAGGTAATTAGATCGCGGATTATTCATCAGTAATATACTACAGCGCATCCTTCCATGGATTAGTCGGACCAGGATAACGTAACCATCCATCAACAGTTCTACGAAATGGGAATTCGCGTTTTTCACGCGAAATATAGACATTCCGTACGCGAGCGGGATGTCCCTTAACCGACATAAATTATAAAAGTGGCTACGTAGATAATACGTGAGGAATAACTTACCAAACCGACGAGTAGAAAAAATACTAGGAATGTGCGGCCGAGGACCGTCTGGCAGTAAACGTCGCCATATCCTACCGTGGACATCGTCACGATCAGAAAGTACACGCAGGTCCAGTACGAAAGCTGTTGCGGGTTCGTGAACTCGAAAGGGTCCCCTGAGTTTTCAAGCTGCGGGCACAATATTATTACGTTCAGGACCATCTCCGGCGTCAAGAGCGAAATTGCGGTTTATATTGGCAGGTCGTAACCGTAAGCTTTTACTGCCGCGCGATAATGGTATAAACACGTAATGTCCGAGAAAACGCACCTCTCGGATTTCAGCACATATACGGTGTCTCTAAGAAAGACGAGAATCACGAAGGACGCGTTGTCGCGCGCGGTGATGTAAGATTAGACTTTTCTCATTGAAAACTTCAACCGTGAGGATTCTCGTTGAATCTTTCCTGACAAAAGATGACTCGCACGTTTCATCCGACACGCTGCGCGTTTATCACAATACGTATAATACGTGCATGTTTCAATACTTCTCATGTATACGCGTAAGTAACTGGTTCCAAATATTACAGGAGAGAATAATTTAATTTACGTCGATCTTGAATAAATTCATGTAAAACTCTATAATTTCCAAAATTAGTGGATCTAAAGTAATAAACGCGATATGAAAATATAATATTACTTGCGCGATGCGCGATGCGCAAAGAGAAATAGGACGTGGCCTTACCAAATGAATGATACCAGCAGCGGTCAACCAGACGGATATGAAGATGGAAACGAGTTGGGCGAGACGAATAGAGCTCGATGTCTTTAGAATGTTGAGGTACTGGAGGATGTCAGGGACCGTCATCAGTCGTAGGGCTCGGAGGAACCTCAGTCCGATCCACGTCCGATCGAGATATATCGACACGAAGGACGGTGGTATCGTAAAGTAGTCCACGAACGAATACATCTCCAGCATGAACCACAGCTTGTCACTGGCGGCGATAAACTAAAATCATAAAACGAGACTGCGAACTCGAGTGACCAGTTGAACAAATATTACGTTTCATCGGAAACCACTTAAAAAGACTTTCATGAGATATAAGCAAAGATGAGGTGAGAATGTCCCGCGAGTGTATTTGTAAATTTTTTATGTTTTGAGAATATTCTGCACTTGACAAAACTCTCGTCGTTAAAAAATCCTCGTTCTAAGAAATGTATAAAAATAGAAAATTATCAACGCGATAATGAATGTGAAATTTCATCTCGTCCACAATGATTCTAACGTCGCAAACGCAAAGATATCTTACTTACGCGTATAAAAAAGTAGACCATAAAAAATATATTGAAAGCTAAGTCTATCTGCTGAGTAATGTTGTTGCTCCACTTCTGGCAACGCTCCACCTCTTCGCTGTAACATAAAAATATGAGATTGCAGATATTAGGTCAGCATTTCTTATAAACTTACGTGAAGGTCTTGGTCTTAAAAAAAACAAAATTGGAAGGTGACTAAAATGGTGATGATTAAACTGGCAATTATCATCTCAGCCTTAATTAAATCGCAACAAGAAACTACGAGATGTTATTATGCTGTATAATATCTGTAATACTACGCAAAAATAAGCATAACATTTACAAATATTTGTTTTTATCATATATGGACTACACTTTGATAATAATTACAATGCAATATTACTTTAATCGTCTGATTCAATCTTGCAAAATGATTATGAAATTTTTAAATAAAAATACGTCAAAATTACTGAAGACTAATCACGTAGTTATTAAAAAAATACTTAGAGTCACGTGAAACCGAGTCGTTTAAAAACGAGAAGTGAGTAATTTTCGTCTGCTCGAATGATTCGACGTGTAAATCACATTCATAATGACATTCAACACGAGCGATGGAAGCGCATCGTGCCAACTTTTCTTTATTCACTTTATTCGAGCCGAGTACGAATACCGAAACAGAGTCACGGAGGTCACATCAAAGAACATCTAATTAAAACGATTATAGCGCACAAATTATATGAATCAACTCGACACGAAGTTTGGTTACTCACCTGGAGGCATCGATGAAGTATATTATAAGCGATGCTATACTGAGAATGAAAACTAACACCACCTGAAACAGATAATAAAGACGCACCGTGAAATATCCATCTACATTAAACATCGCAACTATCAAGTATTACAAGAAATAACGTCCCGCGATAAGTTTGATGAGATTGACGCGATTGATGCGAGATGTTGGTCTCTGTATCAATTTTTTCAGGCATCACCGCGCGAGTTCGATGAAATAGAATATAAAACGCGACAAAACGGAAAGTACGAATATCGCAATGGCCATGATGAAAAATGATCAAAGAGCCGCGACGCGATTTACGATCAGAAAGGCTCGAGAAGGTAATTCGAGTGAGCATTTTACACGTTGTACCCCTCATGAATATTTTCATTAGAGATCACAGTATCGTTTTATTTCCGATGTGACATATGCCACCAGCGTAGCACACGCGAAGTCTAACACCTAGCCAATAGCCGTCGGCAGACGCGGAGTTATGTTTATTACTAGAGCTGTGCGAGCTAAAGCACCCTGTGCTTCCGACAAAACTCCGCGCAACTTTGAAGCTGCGCAAATTCCCACGCACACGCAAACGCGCGCTAACGGCAAGAGCACGGGCATCTCGTTAAGCGATTCTAGCGACGATCAGCGTCGTCAAAGACAAACAGTTAATTAAACATCAAAGGGTAATTCGCGTAGTCGGCAATAAATTTGTCGATCGTTTAATCGGAAACACCCGCAACGTCGTCGCGGTGAGGAACGTCGAGAGAGAGAGAGAGAGAGAGAGAGAGAGAGAGAGAGAGAGAGTTGAACATGTCGCAGAATACAATATCGAATATGTGCGTCCGGAATAATGTCGCACAGAATAATTAAAATCCAGCGTCGCGTTTAAATGATTTTCGCGACGGTAAACAAACAATTTGGCCTTGCGGCTGATTCAGTCACCGACATGAAATATCAGTCGTGTTTAATGCGGAATTTATCTTCCGCGCGCGAGATATTTAAGTATGCACCGGTCAGGCAGGAATTGCGGCTTGTACAGTGTTGCTACACCTGTATAATCATTGTAAACAATGGCTAAGGCCAGCTCAATTATCGCATGCATGTAAGCACGCGATGCGTGAGAACAACACGACGAGATCGATAAATGCCCATATACGGGATTGCAAGCCGCAATCTACGGTTGCGGCGATCCTTATTGTATACACCTGGGAAAATATCCTTAACGGCGCAAATCCGGACGAACGGCAATCAAACATTTTTACAAATTAGTAAACCGCCATGTGGTGTGCGCGCAGTATCCCCGATCAGTAATTGCTCCGGTCGAGCGAAATGTCGATACATTTACGTATTTTGAGACGGAGTTAATTATTCAGATGAATTTTTCTCTCATGCCGCGAAAATTTGTCGATGCACCGATGCTAGAACACGGTGAATGAAAATAACGAATAATTGTCGCGATATATGGAGCAATAATACTCATTCTGAGCGAACAATTATCTACATTTATCTACATTTTACGAGGGCGCATATATCATTTGTCCTCCATCGGTATTAAATTCCTCGCAGATCGCATGCGAGAAAATAAAACGCATTTACTGTCGCGAATATTAGACTTATAAAAAAGCGAGCTAGTGGAAGATATATCTGACAGTGGAAATTAGATTTTCAGAAGGCAAGAGAAAGAATTGCATATCTGAATTTGTCATTAAAGTATTAACAATGCCTTTCAACCGAAAGTAAAGTCATTTTTCAAAATTAGTATTAAATTTATTATACGCATGGATATCTACGACGGACGAAATATCTACATTTTCGCGACAGAGAAAACGAGTAATATTACATCTGATTTATTGCAGTTATCAGAAAATTAATATCAAGAGAAGCGTTAGTTTTCCAAAGAATTTTCTTCATATATATCCCACTATATCACAATGATATGAATGGCCTTCTTGAGCATAGCACAAAGAAAGACAATTTTCTAGCGGATCTTCAGCATAGACTGTGTAATTTCCCTTACTATCAGTCTACTTTGCAACTACTTTGCACCCATCCGCATAGCAACCTTCTCGTGAATTTTGCTTCATAAGTCCCCTTGAAGCAGGGAATGAGAAGGTATGCGTTGATGCAAACTAAATGCGAAGAACGAGAAGGCTCGAGAGAAAGAGAGAGATGACACGGGAATGATGAGAGGGGGAGAGAGAATGAAAGAGAAATAGAAAAAAAAGTAGGACCTAGCCGGCGTGCCGCGTGCGATATTCCTGACGCGTCGGTCTCACGAGAACGAACCCCTACATGTAGTCACCGCGCGAAAATAGACAGTAGGTGCGGTCCTCGACAGAATTATTAGAGAAGAAGCGGGCGAAGTGTTCATGAGAGAGGAACAAAGTGGCGAGAGGAGCGAGAGAGAGAGAGAGAGAGAGAGAGAGAGAGAGAGAGAGAGAGAGAGGGAGAGAGAGAGAAGCGGCCTACAACGCCAGAGAGCATTGCCGTACAATTACGAGCGATCGGTCAGAGTGAAACTGCAGACGGAGGAAAAACGAAAAAGAAGAGTGCCGTAGAAGAGAAGATATAACGAGTCGGACTCGTGAATTTTCGCTCGCGATTCATTAGAGATCGCGACTAGATTCCTAGGTGGCCGTCTTGCGCTCGAATGACATTCCACGAATCTCCAAGCAAATTCGATCTGACGAGTCCCCGAAGAGAGGAGAGAGACGGCAATCGCGGGGAAGAGTCAATGTCGCGCGGGACGGACTTCGGGTGCAGTGCACCCGGAATCACACGGCGAAGTATCTCGATGCGGCTTTTCGCGCACGGGATTATTTTTAACCGGCCCGGACTCGCGCCGTCTCTCTTCGTGAAGCGCAGGCCACCACGTGGAGAACGAACCGTGCGCGCGCGAGCCGAGCGTTTCCGAGCGTGCTAGCTGTGCAAGCGAGCTTTAAAGTTCAGGGTTATACGTCACAGCGCGCGCTAAAGACCGTAATAAGAAGCCCTGCGAGCCCCCTGCGAGCCAACGAACTCCCGCGTCATCGATTTAGGTCCTTATCAAAGCCTGTCGTGCGCCTAACGATCGTTACGGCAAATTGACTTGATAAACGGCTGCACACACACACACACACACACACATACGAGATTACTAGACGGGCCTCCTGGCCGCTCTTAGAAGTGCCACGTGCCCGCCCTCGCCGCGAGCTGAACAACTCCCTGGATGCCACGTTAATATCTCGTTTGATATTCTACGGGATAATCGCTGCCATCGCGTCGATTTTGCCGGCGCCCCTGAGGATACTTTACACATTTTCTCCTTCTCTCTCTCTCTCTCTCTCTCTCTCTCTCTCTCTCTCTCTCTCTCTCTCTCTCTCTCTCTCTCTCTCTCTCTCTCTCCCTCTCTCTCTCTCTCTCTCTCTCCCTCCCTCTCTGCGGTGACCCGTCCATTTTCCCCGCTATTTTCTATTAACTATTTCCGCACGTGGCACGTCGTGTTCCCTTCTTTGCGAGTCATATCGCCCTTTTGCCCAACGAGCGTCGCTTAAAACCGGCAGAACGAGGCTGTTGTTTAATCGTATCGCCGATGAAAATTGTAAAATCTCATTAACCTGCGATACCTGCATCGAGCAGTCGCGAAAGCGGGTCAGCTCCGAATCGTTGACTCGAATATCATACGATAACTGCGTCCGTATTACTTTTGCCATACTTTTGCATTCTACTTACGGTATACTTCTATAGACCTGTAATTCCGTCGATGCGCGTCCCCGCATTTTAATTTACGCGACGTTATAATTCACTCTTGCATGTGTGTTACGAGAGCTTGTAATTATTTTGCGCCGATTACGAGGTAACACGGCATGTTCCAAAAAGAACTAAACTAAAGTAGGACGAACGATTAATGGCTCTCATACTCGTCGTCAATATCCGTTCCGTACAGGCCGTATACAGTATAAATATTTCCACAGTTGTACACGTGTACACGCACATATCATCGATCGTGCATGCGAGAAGTGTTACGGCTACATTTGATAAATTGGGTAACGAAACGGAGGAAAGACCTTATACGCACCAGAAATTATTATGAATCGGCCAACGTTTGCGAAAGGAATCGATGGCCTATTTAGGTACACACTGCGAAATCCTTTCCACGAAAAAGAGAATGGAATATTTTAATATCCTGCGTTCCTTTGGCTTACAAACGGCAAAAGGAAAACTCCGCGTAAACGAGTTACTATCGATTTCTGTAAAGTTACGATGCCATGCATTCAACCTCGATCAATCAATCGTATATTCTCCTGTCGTTTCCACATTCTTCGATGAAAATGCAAAGTAGACCTTTTTTGACGAAAGTTTAGTGCCTAATTTCCTCAACGGAGAATATCTCCCAGGGCATTTAGCTTGTAAAGATTACGATATACTGATAAGTTATGCGTCAAAAGTAAGAATTTTACATGTCACGAATCTGCAACGATAAACAAGGCCCTCTGATGAAGAGATTAAATTTTAACGGGAGAAATTCAACAACGTCAGCAAATTTATATTCATAATGAACTTTCTCGATTAATACCGACAGCGCTTAACTTTGACAAAAACGTAATTCTCGATTTAATTATAACGTTACAAGAGAGGGAAATCGAACGGTTACGACGCACCATAGTTTCCGTCTAGCGAGTTTTTTTCACCGAGCTGGAATCGATTTCGAATTTCATCAAAGGCTCTTGTGGCTCGATAAGATTCGGTGCGAGATGCAACCTGCTTGTGTGCAAGAGGCTAAGTACAGGTCGCGACGATTTCGAACTTGATGAGCTCGTATAAACGAACATATCGATCTCGAATAGCAGATTTACGAGAAACTTTTATTATGTTTGCGCTGAGAGAGAGAAAGAGAGAGAGAGAGAATCTCACTAGACGGAAGATTCGTGAGTAAGTACGATGACGCCAGGAGAACGTCCCGGTGTAAAAATAGAGATCGTCATTAGACGCGCCCCTTACCCCACGAACGACAACGTTGTCGTTCACAAGCGGCTGGGTAAGAGGACGCGGAAAAATTCAAAGCGTCCGCCAGACCAAGT